TCCATTCTTAGATTCTGCAGTAAGTTGATAGAATGGGAAAAAACACAGATAAATAAAATTACAGGCAAAATGATCATAGTGGTCATGATTTACAGTATCACCATAAAGAATGACACTGTCTCTACTGAAATAGAGTTGTTTCTGACTGGAACACAGTCACTCACGTTAGGAAGCACATGAGATTGATGTTATTGCTTCTCCTCCTCTAGTCTGCTAAGTTAACTACTCTCAGTAACACTAAGTGGTCTATCCATGTCAATTTGCACAAAGACTATGGGTTTTAGGCTCAATTTTAATTAAGAGAAATCTTTAAGATACAATGTCTCATTAGTTTGCATGGTCTTCTCTGTAAGGTCCTGAAGATAATATTTTTTACGAAAGTTTTAACGAGAAGTAAATATACTTATTCTATTCATTCAATGTGGTATGAGTCACACCTTGACCCCATGGCAGTGCATTTGAGGGAAACATTAGTTCACACCCCCCCCCCCCCAGAGCCTAGTTCTAAATTTGCAGTCTGATGAATTACATGCTTCAACAGTTTGAAACTCCTTCGCTCAAGTTTACTGACTTTTAAATGCCAAGTGGTGACAAGGTTTTCTGTTGAGGGCTGGTGTTTGGAGCCTGTCTGGACCCAGCACAGGCTTTACTGAGTTTACAGTCTCTTAGACGGCTGAAGGCATAACTCACTGCCATAGCACTTGGAAAGCACACACCCAGCCCCAGCTTGTTTTTAACACCACCCCAAAAAGGGAAAAATGAAGTCATCTAGAGAGAGAAGCTGCTAAAATATATCCACCACATCAGCTAACAGTTGTCTGCTCCTAATTTGTACTGTTTGCAAGATGAGAACAGGAATTGCATTCCTTTTGTGCTGCTAAAGCACAGAGAACATGCTACAGAGAAGTGTGTGGAAAGCTGAACCTAGAACACATATTAAGTAGTACTTTATAGAAGTGCTTGCTTCCCATCCGGATCATCTGAATTACTGTGTAAGCCATAGAAATAATTCGTGTAATGGGATTTTAAAAATTTTTATAACACCTCAAATCTATTGATTATTTTAATGTTGATCTTAAGAGACTCATAGTGCATCTGAAAAATTATCTCTTCTCCATGTTTACAGTTTACAGGGTTGTCAGTCGAAAAGTAACAGCAAAATTAAGTACTTATTATATTTATAGTTATAGATTATAAAGTACTGTGAGTTACATTACTGCTGTGTTAACCAAAATAATGATAGTGAAAAGATCCTACAATGAGAAAAGATAAAAATCACAGTTGACAGAAGAAAAACAAAAGCAGCAACAAAAGCCAACAGGTTGCTGTAAATTGATTTTGATATTTCAGTCTTTAGTGATAAATTTGGCTGGTGTTTTTAAGCCTCTTCAAAGCTCTTATTATTATATAGTATCTATTCAAATGAAGATTCAATTTTGAGAGGCGTAATTTTACAGGTTAAAGCTTCAAGTATCATTTCAATATTGAATTTTTGAAGCAGACTTCCAAATCTTATGTTTTTTTGTAAAAATCAGTCTTTGTCTTATTTTTTCCGTCTTCACTGTTATATGAAAAATTGCAACTAGAGAAAGAATGAAATTGTGAGACAGAGATACTCTTGAAGCCAATGACACTTTCATCACGAAGTGGTACAAGCTTTGATGGGCAGTCTATATTTGAGTCAACAGTGCCATTCAGTCTTAAATTGCTTATATCAAAACCACGGAGGTGATATTGCTGCTAATGGCTACAATAGAAGCATGTTTGCTAAATTTTAAGTCAATAATGAAAATATTAATCATATCTAAAGTTTGTAGAAACAAGAATGAAAAATAAAATGCACCAATTGTGTAACAGCAGTGTTGGTGACACATTCTCAATAGGACTTTCAGTTTTGTATTAAGTATTTAATAACAAAATGAGATGCATTGTACTGAAGTGGAAATGCATTTATTTCTATATGAAAATGTAATTTACAAGTAAAGTACATAAACAAAAGAGCTTGTGGCTTAGCCCACGTTTCCCTTGTCTAGGCATCAAACATTCAGTCATCGCACTTCACTTCTGCAAGTCCAAATGTTGACTGGAGAAAATAGAATGCTTAGAAAAATTAGTTTTCTGTAGGGGACAAGCATTGTGGGATGTATAAAATCTTTAGATAATAACATATTATATAAATATTGGGTTATTTTGTCAAATTCTTGGCTGTACTTCTCTCTGCTTCCTATATTTTTAAAATACTACCATATTGAGACATATTTACCACTTTGGATAAATAAAAATATGAATGGAAATGCCTGCCTACTCCTCTTTGTGATATTTTAAGTTTCAGATTTCTATTTCTGCAAATGTGTTTGTCTTTGCGCTTTTTCTTTAGTTTCTTTGTTTCTCTTAGTCTGTATTGTTCTACTCTGATTTGTTTTTTATTTTATTTTATTATTTGGTTAGATACCTGTTTGTTGTTTTTAAAGGGAGAAAGGAAGAAAGGGTGTGGATTGTGTTGTGTGAGGAGCTGAGGAAATGAAAGAAGTTGTGGGAAGAGTAATCATAATGTGTTGTATGAAAAAAAAACAATCTCTTTTCAATAAGTAGAAGAAAGAAAAATCACAGCCTGGTCTACAAGAGCTAGTTCCAGGACAGGCTCCAAAACCACAGAGAAACCCTGTCTCGAAAAACAAAACAAAACAAAACAAAAAAAAAAAAAAAAAAAAAAAAAAAAAAAAAAAA